AGCATCGTAACCCAGCGGTTCAGACGAAATTAAAACAACTACTTATAATATACACATAATAAATGTCCCTAGAACAAACTAACAACAACGGAAAAATGAGATGCGAAAGACAATGAAAAGCTTGAACTTAAAGCATGTTTCACTCGATTGGATTTTGGACGAACGCGGAATATTTTCACTGGATTTCTAAAACCAAAAACGCAAAAAAAAATGTGGACGCAGTGCATGAAATTGAATCACAGAAACTCAAACACAGATACTTAATAACTGTATCTGTCCAACCCATTCAGGGATGTACAAAGTTTACGCTTGCGTTTATGTTGACAATTGAGTAGTTTATCGTTTGCAATGAGATATAGACAGTTCAGTTTGTTCAGTCTTATCTATTTCTAATCTCTGGTTATATTTATGAAATAAACTCAAGAATAGACATCAGAAAGATCGTATTTATCTACAACAACGCAGTCAGATCGATTTTTTGAAATAGTTGATTATTTATGTTCATATCATCGAGTTGAATATAACTTCATTTATTTATTGTATCTGCTCTGACGTGAACTTGACTTTTAATAAGTTTGGAATAAATTGTCTGTAACTGAATGAAAGTGACAAATAGTTTGATCCATCCTGCGTTGTCTATAAATAAATCAGTTCAATTATTTACAAATCGGAAAAAAAACTATTTCAGAACTAAAACAATTTTAGAAGCACATTATTCTTTAAAGTACAATGTATCACGTGAAAATCTGACGTTCTGTTGCCATCGTACTACTGTCAGGAATATGGCCATGCACACTAACGGTTAAACAAGTAAAAACAAGCCGTCGTTTACACCGCGAAGTACTAAACAGTTACGCTAAAACATCTTTGGTAACTTGGCAAAACTACCCATTTTATTACCCGTATATCGTTCGTTCATTCATTCATTCGTTCATTCATTCATTCCGACTTCAATGAATAGTGTGATAAATAAATAAATTAATTAGAACGTCATGTTTGTTATGATTGCGTCGAGTTATAAATATCTTTGTTGTGTACGCCATTCAAAATTCAGAAACAAACCATTCGCTTACCACGTCTACAATTTTTTAACTACGAACTTCAAAAAATATACAAAAACATCGAGAAATAGATACAAAGTATTAAAAAAAAGGAATGAAAAACTGGTATTTTAATTTTATATTTATCCCGACTGTTACAAAATCGATTAATATATTAGCGTTCGCGCAACAACGGTTTATGAAAAACGATTGGAAGGGAATTTGAACCCCGGACCTTCCTGTATTTTTAACATGAACCAAAACTTATGCCTTTTTAGTATTTTCGCTTACTTTTTGATATTAAACAAGGAAACATATTCTAAGTTCTTAGAAACTGGACATAATCAACTTTGAAGTAAAGATATAAAGACGTTTGATGTTAAAGTTGATTATCGTATGCAACGGCTATGGAGTGTCGCCGTCAGATACCGTGTAACCACCCGAATCTCGCGACCCGACCAAGTCGGAGCTTCTCGTCAGTCTGTTATTTAGTACACCATATCGTCCCAATATTTTGATATATAACATTATTCGCAAATCGCATAGTGATTATATTATAAGTTTGAGAAACAAATTAATATAGCCGTACAATTAATAGTTGTTTATCACTACGATACACCGCGACCGCGGCGCTGCATCGTTGTGTTGCCAAAAACAGTTATCGGGCAAAGCTTTCGTTGAATACCGTTCCGCAGTGGTTGAAATAATAGCACCCCCTAAAAACTGCAACTCCATACAACAGCCAGTTACATATCGCTTGCATATTTTTTTCTTCTGCCATGCACGTGGCCGAATTGTCCAAATAAATCTGGATTAAAACTCATCTTATTATAGCGGGATAACTTGTAATTTCCTGAATTTAACGCGATATTATATGAAAGTACGAAAACAAGTATACACGCGGCTAACACCAGTAAATGGTTGCTTGTTTCATGAATATCCCCAACGTATGCAAATTTTAGCGACTTTTACCATAATTTCAGCAATTTATTAGTAAATGCGTATCAACAAATTTAAGAATTGTGTCAAATGCACTGCGATAGGAAATGGGACGCGACAGTGTTACAAACTCAGTGTATGTACCACCCAGTGCATTCAGCCTTATCAACTATAGGGGTCGCTACACCGCTGAAAAGCAATATCAGCGACAAACACAGACACACATACACACACATTAGGATTACGTTGAAAACACGCATAAATTGGGGTGGAATTACTCGTATACACTGAATAGAGTCGGCAGTTGGGATCTGCTATTGAACTGTGTTTTTATTTTTGTGTGTTCGCGGTGTTATTAAATCACAGGGAATATTATCGTCGTTACGCTGATAGGCAACAAAACAACAACAAAGCAAGCTACGAGCCACTCACTAGTACATAGTTCAACTATATAGTATGCATATTCATTTAACATTACTGAATCTGCGAGCAGTGAATAAAATGAAAAACTATCGTAAAAATATCTCATCAAATTAAATGTTTCGACACCGGTATAAAAAAGGATGTCATCCATAAGAATTCAGTTGGTGAAATGAATTTAACGGCGGTGTCAATTTTGAAAGCTCGGTAGAAGCGATATGTTGTTCGCGCGGACCATGCGAGGCGTTACGTAAAACCCATCCATCAACTCGACCGTGCAAGAGTCAATGCGAATATGAGTGTATTCAGACGACAACCCGCCCGGCGGAGGACATGACATTTTTCGTCAAATGCATAGCTACCACGAGCAAAGACTATCGATATAAACAGTCTCAAAACACCCACCCAGACCATGTTAGGCGATGAGGGACCGGGTTCGTGAAAAAATACAAAGATTTACGACAAAACCAAAGAGAATTCGTTAGAATCGTAAAACTCTTACCTTGCTCTCTTAAAAGCTGTTTCACTTCGGCAACTCGATGAAAGCTGAGTCACGTGGTAGGATGCAACCAATCACGGCGCACCAGACGAAAAGATAAACAGTAATATGGAGGACATCAATATGGTAATAAGGCGACTTTGTTTCAAACAAAATCGTATTGATAAGAAATATGTTTGAAAGAAAAATGACTGAATATTACAACTGATACATTTATACGTCCTTTAAACGTGTTTATTGAAAATCTGAAGACGTTTTATGGCGCGGCCGCGCAAAATTGCGATAAAATTGCGAAACGTGACGATCGTCTGCGCGGGGGTCATCATGATAATATCACTTTCCTTTGTCGGCATCTCGACCTAGATTTGAGATTAAAGCATAAAACCGTCAGATCTTCGTAAAAAAACGAAAAAATCAACAATGTGGGGGATAGTCTCGACATTTGTCGCATGTTTGTTTCTCACTTGAACCACAATAGCCGCTGAGTAAGTTTATTTACATGAATACAAGCAGACTATCGGCTTGTTCGGCGAGCTTGAAAGTGGTCGTCTGATATACGAGTGGCGGGTCACGCTGGTCTATGGCGTATCGTCGGCATCCCTTTGAACACACACACTCAACGGTTGGCTGTCATAAAAATTCACTTTTTACAGCACGTCAGCCAAGTCTTTCTGACCTTCCGCACAGGAAGCCCGTCTCAAAACAAGAAAATGGCGGGTATTCTCTCAATAAACGATTACTATTTTCACGTTTCTCCTTTATTTTTTTTATAAAGATTTCAAAGCAGTCATTTTTTCAAATAACAAATATTTTTTCCTTTTTTTTTACATTCACGTTTTTAAAGATAAAATTTAATTACCATGACCCCATGTTCAAGTTATATATTAATTGAGATTTTACAGTCGTGTCACCATGACGACCAAGATGACCAGGTAATTGCGTGATTTCATTAAATTTGCGAGTCTCAGAGTTATGTTAAACAAACTACAGAGTCTATTTTACATTAAACTTAAAACACGAAGAGTTATTTTAAAAAAAAACACAATTTCCTGAAGGTGGAAAAAATAAACATCGCAGCGCTTTTTTAAAGTGTGTAATTACGAGGGCAATGCACCTTTACACAAGTAGTTGGAAACAACAAATTCTTGTCAGACGAGAAAAACACAGCGAACAGAATTACAATGTGCTACAAATTTTCGTTAACTGTTGTTCAGTGACTCCTATGAGCACGCCGCCTTTTTGAACAACCACATAAAAGATTCCCGTGTTCCCAAAAAAATGGTTTGAGTTGATTTTGTATGAGAACATGTAAAACAAAGTGAATATTACAAACAGTGAAATAATTTATGAAGACAGAAATTTAACCTTGATGTGTATTTGTCTGTCTCTGTAGACAGAACTTGGTTAGCGCAGAATATACCGTCGATAACCCGGTGTTATTTTTGAGTTTGAAAATAATACTGAAAAAAAAATCTTCTCCAAATTTGGGTTTATTTATTTATATGATGCTAGGCGAAATATAAACGTCGACTATGTCTAGTTTGTGTCTGTTTTATTTCTGTTTTCGTTGATTCAATTTCCCGTATGCACCATTTCCCGCTCTGTAAGATTATCACGCTGGTGCATATTATCTGCGCCCAACGAAATAGAAGCGGCTTCATACTTGCGAAATCCGCCTTTCCGACGATTTGAACCCCTTTAGACGACTTTTAGTATTTTTAACACAACAAACGTTCATGAATGGTTCTATATTTGTCCCCAAAACTGATCAAGTCCTGTTGGTGCTGGAAAATTGCGCGGATTTAGTGCCTTGTTGACGTGGGGGTAGATACACGTGTTTTGCGATGACATGCTGGCGGTGAACATTGGACCGTCCAAAGGAGTAAAGCTCGGACTCCATATTTACATCGTAAACCCTAACACAAAGTGACGTAGTGGGAACTCGTAACCGCTGGAACTGTCGCGTTTAGTTCGACACAGTACTGAATAAAAATGGCGGCCACTACAAGTTTATTAAAACTCAATCGAGAGAAAATGTACTATTATTTTGGTGTAAAGTTTATTCATGATATCGGTCACAATTTGTATTTTTTTTTTTTCAGTTACGACATTTCCAATTGCGGTGGTTATGTTATCGAACTCGTTCAAGTTGTGCCGTTTTTGCAGCAACTGAAAAACATCGAAGGCATCAAAATGATTGGAGACCGCGTACTTTATAACTCTATGGTCTGCTAATCGTAACGAATATTTTACGAATCTGGTGAGGGAGAGCATTTGGTTCGGTTGGAAATATTCGGGGGCGCGGTAATGTCCGCAATGTCGAAGAAGGAATATGGGAAGCTGGAATTACAAGAACCGGAACATTGTTTCGTATGTTGTTATTTTGTTACCAATTTACTTTCCATTTAATCTGTTTGTAACAGATAATCCCCACTATGTTGTCACGTGACAGTTATTGTCATTTATTGTGAAGAAAGGTGACTAATACTTATAAAACAAAATAAAATTATGTCTGTAATTGAAAAAAAAATATGTTTGTTTTTTTTTTGAGTCGGCACAATCTAATATAATTGTGTTATTGGCTAACATGGTCTATTGATTTTTTTTACATATATTAATTTAATTATTATAATTAAAAAAAAAAAACATCTTGACCTCCTTATAGCAGGCTTATCGCGTAACATTAATTACTTCCGAATTACATCATGCGCCTTTTTGCAGTTGTCAATTTTTATTCTGGCGTAACTCGATTTCGCATGTCGATATCATCGAAGGGCAAAGCGTTCTTAAACCAATGCCGGACCACAATGTTTAGAACAAGTCCTAATTTTGTTAATTTGTTTTTTTTTCTTAATTAATATGTGAATTTCAGATCTTTTAGGAAGAATATTGACGCAAAGTTTTACATCCTGCTTCAGCTGTACTTTTTCATCGACGGTAATACAGGTTAATATTTCCCGTATTCTTATTTTCAGTCGTGGACTTAAGATAAAAAAAGGGGTTATCACACAATCCCTAGATTGAAATGAATGCCTGCGAACAGACACGTCAAAATTCATATTTGTACCCATGCCCAGTCCATACGTTTGAAGGCGCGATTTCGGTGTGTACGTTCGGTTATAACGTAAATTGATACCTGTTTGGTTCAATAAACAACACTCATGTGATTAGAAGTTGTGTTTTCACGTTTTCGTGGTAGTTTGGTTGGCCGGTAAACACAAACAGGGTTTTCACGGTGGTATAACTGGGATACATACATTTCCCGATTCCACGTGGCACTGAAATCAGTGTGAATTCTAACGGGGAACAAGACAGAATCGGGAACAGCTATACAGATTGCTCACTATGACAACGACCAATAAGACCTACTATTTTAGTAAAAAAATGGAGTAGCTAAAATCCATTCAACAAAAGCACACTAACTAATGTACTTACTTTCACGGCAATTATCGGAGGGTCAGAGAGAGTGACATAGTCAGACAGCGGAATTACCGCTGTACTCACAGACGTGTTTGGATAGTGTGAGCCGCCATGAAAGACAAACCCACCTAATATAAGTATCGATACTCACACTTACATATTTCCGATATAGTGCATTTCAAATACTCGATTAAATTATTATATGTTTATTAAAGATTAAATGCCCCATTACATGATATTTTTTTCTTTTACTTTCTGTATCCCAGACAATACTAGACCAAATTAGGCGTTTAAGATGAATATAATATGCCAGCTTTTAGAAAGTTCAAATATTTTTTTTTCCTTCTGGACTGGCACTTTTTTTTCAACTGTCGGATCGACTTCATAGTTATTGTGAATTCAGAATCTACAGCCAGTCCACCAAATACTGTCTCTCATATAGTTCCATTCAGTTCGTCTCGTTGTCTCAGCACTGGAAAACATGACACTGAAAGCAATGAGTCAATCTGCCTTCTTTTGTAATTATTTTCAAACAAGCGAGGATGAATATCTGAATTAAATTGTCCATTTGTTGATATATTTTGGGAGAAGTACATTCCAAATTATTAATGTACACCTCTCTCAGTTCTGGAATTCTTCTGAATTCGATTTCGTGTTTTAGTTACCCCAGTTGTATTCGTCCGGAAATCTGTATTTCGGATCACCGGCCTTGGGTTACAATAAACACCCAATTCACTTTCCGAAGAAGATTACGAGCTTGGCCTTGTTAACACCATAAAGTTACAATTACTCCACTTTCCTCATATTAATTCATTTTGTAAGATAATATTTCTGGGGGGAAATAGAGATGCGAAGTAGTGCATACAAAAATGTTGTATATCTCGTTAGGTGCGTAGTATTTCACCGTTGCTGTCAAGACTGGTCCGTTAGGGTGTCAAATCCAGTCAGTGAACTTTAATAAAATATAACGAATTGTTTAGACCAGAAGACTGTCTCGTTGAAGCATTGTTAACCAATCGATGGTTGGTATCGATTCAAACTCTAATAAAAACGCCATCAATAGAGTAGGTTATCTTGTAATCGCGTCATAGACGTGGTAATCGATTACACACTAACAATGAGCTTGGTTACGCAGTTAGACGTTGAATGTTGTACTGCCCATTAGGTGCAATGTTAAGACTTGTTTGCAGCTTAATTAAGGTAAACAACGGTGGTGTTATCGTTAATTTGTGACTAGAGCCTCTACATGTACTGCGTTCTATTGTTGTACATACTTCTATTGAAGCCTACTGTGATTTTCAAGTTTTCAGCGAACGATACATCAGATTAAATCAAAATATCACGAAATAGAAAAAAAACGACTTGTTTCTGCTTTGCTAACGAAAATTATTGACTTTCGCCCGAAGGAGCATGTTGCGACTAGCTATACATAGCAACAATACCATGCCTGTACAACGAAGGGATAGGTATGCCCATAAACCTAAAGGTTGGAAAAAAATGCTTTGAAGTTACGAAAAGTGCAATAAAATATTGATCTCCTTCACAACTCAGCGAGCCGCATTCAAAACATTTCGGCGCCTATGCTACCGAATTTTACTATGTTCACATCTGCTTTTGTATGGGTTCTTCTTACGTCGGCGTAAATATTGTGCCGGTGTAAATGGAGTTTATAAACTCGTATAGTAGGAGGATAGTACCGGTGTAACTATCACAAAAGTTAACTGAAACGGCATCACCCGGCAACCGGTCGCAACGGTGTTGTAAGTGAATTCAGGCTTTAAACTGTAACTATATCCACGTTAAACTTATTTCAAAGTTGGTGCTCAAAATGTCCGCCGATTACCAGTCCAGGTCATGCACATTACTACGACTTTTACCAGCCAAGAGTTGTCTCATGTTCGATTGCATCGAAGACATATACAAGTGAAAAAGACATCCAAAAGAGGGAATATATGATCATCCGAGAATGAATCTGCGAGTTCGCACTGTTGTATGCGCTCCTAATTATTCAGTACACCCGTTGTAAACAACAAGTTTACATGAACAAAAGAGTATGTTATTCATATATTTTTAATTAGCGGGCGCAACCAACACCGGCATGATGTTTTGATAATTAGTTTTGCCCGCAATTGAGCAGAGAATGAATCCAAATATTATCGTGACTGTGTGTAAACATACACACACAGGGATTTGCACGCCGCACTTAGGCGATACGTAACATGTGTTATGTTCTCACAGTGTTGTTCAAATAGTTTTATAGACATGCTATTTGGAGTAGACTATGAATATATTCATGTTTTCCACTCGACTACGTGGTGACGTCAATAGGGCATGGATGTTCAAGACAAACTATAATAATAATAACAATATTTATAATAATTTATTCAATACTGAAACATTTTATTGTTGTACAAAAAAAGCATTTAGAAAACCAAGTCACAGAAAAAAATGGAACAATAAACAAAAAACCATAAAGAAAAAAAAATTAAATAATCATGCGACGAAGTTGCAATTATACAAAATCATCTCTGATACTCATTTAGACGGAACTGTGAAAAAAACAGCAAATTTTGAAGCGACTTTTAAATAGATAATCACCTACGCTCATATTTACCGTTTATTTATGATAGCTACAGAACAACAACGAGTTTTAAAAAATGATAACTACAGAAAACGGATTTGAGATAGCATGTCTGTGATTACTTGGTCGTATCTAGAAAATAAACCCAGATAAGAAAAGAAATCGAGGCGAGATCAATTGTACTTCAATTTTCTCTCGCTGCTTCCTAAAAAATCAAGTTTGTATGAGAGAAGAGAAGAGAAGAGAAGAGAAGAGAAGAGAAGAGAAGAGAAGAGAAGAGAAGAGAAGAGAAGAGAAGAGAAGA